CGTCGAATTAAACATTGAAAAGAATCGATAGTGTGTATAAATGTAAAGAGAATAAGATATTTGATAAGGAAGAGAAAAGAAAAATTGAAAAGAGAAATTAATAAATATTGAGAAATTAAGTCGAATTAAAGTTTGTGAAAATATAAGTAAAGAGGATGAAATATGAATATCTCTAATTGTTCTGAGAGAGAAAGAAAAAGTGATATCGCCATGGATCGTTAATAGCTTGTTTTTTGAACTTTTATCAAAGTAAAAAAAAATGTAAATGACAACGAGAGAAAAAAAAGGATCTCTAAACTCAAAATTAATTAGTTAAAAAAAAAAAAATGAAAAGCGTACAGAAAACGAAAGCCACAGGAAAAAATTCAAACGATCAACAATTCGAATGTCACTTCTTTATTATCACCCAATTACATAATAATTCCTTGGGATTAGAACCATTCGTTATTCATTGGATGACGCGTGTTGCCTTACATTAAAACACACTGCACATACAACGAGTCCAAGAATTCTCATTGGTTCTTTCTCATCTCCTCTTTGCCTTTTCCTTGCTTCGTAAATCGAGTCGTTCGATAAATTCCCTATCGGCCGAAGAATTGGCAGTATTGTCACGGTCACGCACAATCACTCGTGCAAAGAAGAACGAACGACGATGATGATGTTTTCATACCGTTTTTTTAATAGTAACATCGAATTTGAATTTCGCCTTGGGAACAATAATTAATTAGTAGACATCGATGATCGTATCATAATTGAAAGTGGATATTCGTCCAAACGAGATTCGTGTTATGTATTTCCGACACGTCATAGCGAACAAGAGACATTTTTATTTTCACTTATTTTCATTATTTAAATTAGTTATTCATCGAATTTCCTTTTGTTGACAAGAAAAATGGATTTATAGATTTCTCTTCGATTTGATTATCCACATTCTCTCGAATATCGAAACGAAAAAGAAGAAAGGAAATGATAAAAAGAAATATGGAAACGAAGAAAATAAGGAGAGAGGTGTCTACGGTCGATCCTCGAAACTCGAATCTCAAAGAATGTTCATGAGAATGCTTTCATATTTTTTTTTTTTTTAGTTTTAATTTTCTAAAAAATTATCCTACAGCCTCGTTATCCATGCAATTTAAAGAAAGTAGCGAACTATAATTCCAATTAAAATGGATAGATTCATGCTCCTTTTGTAAAGATTTTTTTAACCGAAAAGAAATGGACGAAATTATAATCTCGTAGGAGTTTTCGAGAGTTATGGAAGTTCGATCGTGGAAATGAAGAAATAGATAAAAAAAAGAATAGGTAATAAAGTTTATAAGCACGGTATGATATACAACGAATTATCAAAAACTAATAAGAGCATGCATTTGCATCGATATATCGTTTCATGGTTACACTGTTTTTTTTTTTTTTT